ACTTAGAGTAAACTTGTAGAACAGAGTAGAGCAGCCCTACTGGGCTTGCAAGGCTGTGAATCTTTCTGTTGGATTAAACTACTAGTCTTTTGTTTAGTGGATATTGCTAAATCTCTCTCAATATATGAAGAGGGACTTCAACTGGATTATGACAGTACAGGATCAGGCAGGGTTTTATTTGGTGTGCAGATGGTCTCTGAGAGTTGGACAAACTTGAGGGCACCTAAACTTGCCAAGTTTCCCTTTCTACAGCACTAAAAATGTGTTTAGGTAGAACAATGCTTTCTTGTATTTATACTTATATGGAAAGTAGTAGGAAGGGATTTTTATTTGAAGAGATATGCTAGACAGATAAAAGCCAGGTGTATATTACATCATACATATATGCAGGGGTGAATGTATATCGAGTCCTTTCCCATTGTTATCTTCTCTAAGCCTCAGAACAATCAAATGACATAAGCAAATCAGGTGTTACTGATACAAAATACTCAACACTAATGTGTTCTTGGGTAGAAAAAAAATTGCGTGAGATTTACAGATATACAATAAATTCTCTTTCCAATTTCCAACAAAATACATCTTTCAAAATGTTGCCAAAATACTGCCACCTTCTCCTTGTTAACACATAGAAGAGAGTTATCATCTTAGATTGGCATATCTAAGGAAAAAATTCTAGAGAGATGCAATTTCATTCTTTTTGTGAGGTGCCATCTAGGTGACTCTCCCTCTGACCTTGTCCAGCCCTGCACTGTCCGCACTGTCTCCATGGTGCTTAAGCTTATTGTTGGAGTCACTTTGTCCTTTTACACTGCCCCCTTCTGACAACACAACCAATATATGTGAGACAAAGTCTTGCCATCCTTGCTTTGAAGGAGCACCCTGTTTGTACTTTTCCCAGCACAGATTTGTTATTCTTTTGACAGTCCATTCAATACTTTTCACCAACACCACAATTCAAAGGAACAGATTATTTTTCAATTTTCTGTATTCATTGTTCAACTGTCATATGAATAAGTAGCAGTGAAAATACCATAACTTTGGATCAGACACACCGTAGTCTTTAAACTTTCAGCATTGCTCTTCTGCAATTTTAGGAAGGCAGGAATGAAGGATGTTGTTGTTGTTGTTATGTGCCATCGAGTCGCTTGCAACTCATAGCAACCCTATGTACAACATCCCTAAACTCTGCTCTGTCCTGTGCCAATCACATTACCTCTGACACACCCATCCCAATTACCCCAGTCACTGAATCAATCCACCTCATAGGGGGCCTTCCCCTTCTGTGCTGTCCCTCCACCCTCCCAGGCATGATGTCCCTCTCCAAGGACCTGTCCCTCCTTGCAACATGTCCAAAGTATGTTAGATGGAGCCTTAGAATCCTTGCCTCCAGGGAGCAGCCCGGTTTGACCCTTTCCAGGATGAATCTGTTTGTTTTCTTAGCAGTCCAGGGTACCCTCAGTACTCTTCTCCAGCACCACAGCTCAAAGGCATCAGTTCTCCTTCTATACTCCTTAGTCATTGTCCAACTCTCTGATGCATAACAAGTGATAGTAAAGACCATGGCCTGTATTAGATGCACCTTAGTCTCCAAAGAGACACCATTGCTCTTAAGTCCTTTGGAGAGGTGTCTAACAGAAGACTTTCCCATGGCAATATGTCTTCTAATTTCCTGGCTGCTGGTGCTGAGAGTGTTGACTGTGGAGCCAAGCAAACTGAAGCTGTGAACAATCGCAATCCCTTCACCATCCATCCGTATGCTGCCAAATGGCCCAGTGGTGAGAATCTTTGTCTTCTTGACATTGAGCCTCAATCCATATTGAAGGCTGCAGTCCTTGACCCTCTGCAGCAAGCGCTTCAGGTCCTCCTCAGTTTCAGCAAGCAGGGTTGTATCATCTGCATAACGCAGATTGTTGATAGATCTTCCACCAATCTTGACCCCACATCTCTCCTCATAGAGCCCAGCCTCCTGGATAATCTATTCTGCATACAAGTTGAAAAGGTATGGAGATAGGACACATCCCTGGCGTACGCCCTTCCCAATTTTGAACCATGCAGTGTTTCCTTGCTCTGTTCTGACGACTGCCTCTTGGTCCAAGTATAGGTTTCTCATTAGCACGATCAAGTGTTCTGGTATTCCCATGGATATGAAGAGTGAAACCTAGAAAAAAGACAATATGACAGAGTGAAGTTTTGAACCACACCTTTGAAACAAGCTGATGGTTTATCATCTCAGGTTATTTTTAGAAAAGCTATATGAAGCTACTACATATATCTGAAATTAAAAGAAATAGAAACCTATCCACTGGTTTTAATTGCCTAGTGTAAAAGTTCAATGTCTAGGTCATTGATTAACCTACTTCCTCTTGCACATACCTAGGGGTCACATCAAGACCCATTGGACAGAAGGGAAGTCCTGCAGTAGGAGGCAAGGAACTTTCTGCTTATATAGGAGACTGACATGACTTAGAGGTAATCATGAAGAGTGTGTGGCTGGCCCAAGAGGCCACACTCCACCATGAGATTTCTGCTCCACAGTTGGCAAAGAGACCTTAACAAACTTTCCCTTGTGGCTTACAAGACTAAAAATGATACCAAGCTATCCTTCTGGGAGGGGTCATCATTAATACCGAGTAGTAAATGACATGGTCTGAAGTGTCAATGATGACATCTATGCTTTTGCATAGTAAAAGAACAATACCTTTGCTGAATACTTACTTACTTCAACATTTGCTATGGGCAGACTTTCCTAACCCTTCTCCTTGGCCAGTCTAGAATTTATCAATCCCTTCATGATTCCCACAGTATTCCTGGCATCAGTGTCAATGATAGATACACCAACACCTAAAATATTTATTTAGTAGTATCCTTCTCCTAGAGGAGATTTTTCTGAGGTTTTAGTAATGATGATCCATTAACTCACAAATTTATTGAGTATGTACTATGTGCCAGGCACTCTATTTTGTGTTGGATGGTGATAAGTGCTTTATAGGAAAACAAAACAGGAAAGTTGCATAGAGAGAGCTGGAAAGGAAGGATGTGAGAGTCACATATGTAAGCAGATTGCCAAGGGAAGCCTTCGCAGACAGAGTTATAGTGAGGAAAATACAGGCAGAGGTGTGGGCAGGGGCAGAGTTCCAATGGAGAGAAGTAGGTGCAAAGGTTATAAGGGATCAGGTGTCTCATGTACAGCAAGAATTAATGGAGAGAGAGAGAGAGACAGAGAGTGAATACACAGATGAGATCAGAGATGAGACTAAGAACTTGGGGCTTTAGAGAACATTACAAAGACTTTGACCTCCACTGGAGAAGCAGCAGATTTTGAACAAAGGAGTCATATGACTTCCATATTGATAGGATCCCTCTGGTTGAGTGTAGATGAGGGCTGAAACAGGGCACCAGGAGGTTATTGGGATAACAGGTACCTAAATGCCACTGATAGAGGTGGTGAGAATGACTTTTGGATGTAGCTGAATAGAGGTCATTGCTGACTTTGATCAGTTTGGGTGCACTGAAGATGGAAAATGCCCAAACAATTTCAAATGAGAATGAGAGCTACTGTTGCCTGTTGGAATTTTCAGACTATAAAGCACATAGAAGGAGATTGTCCATCTTTCTCTTGCAGAACAGCTGATGGACTTGAACCACGTTCCTTTGGGATTGGCAGTGCAATTCCCTACCACTAGGCTACCTACCGTGTGTGTGTGTGTGTGTGTGTGTGTGTGTGTGGTGGGAGGATGAAACAGGAAGTATTCAACAAAGACAATTCTTTAGAGATAATAACGAAGGTATGGAAAGTGGGAGGGTGCTAGAGGGGGAGGAAAATAGAGTGTGTGTGTGTGTGTGTGTGTGTGCGCGTGCGTGCGTGCGCACACACACACACACACGCACTAGCCTTCACACTGTAATGGCCTGTTTATTATGCCAGTTAAGAAAGGTCCAGTAGATCATACTGGAAGAACCAAGCAGAAAAGAAATGATTATGAGAAGAATGGACAAAATAGCCCCTAGAGTCAGGCCACTGAACTGATCCCGCTTAGCTCCTCATCAATTGTGGGAGTGCAGGTGCCTGGGCAAAGCTTCAGAGGCTTAAAGCCTGAAATGGTTCAGATGAGAAAGGCAGCTATAATACACCTATTAAGTAGTAGAATAGAGACTCCCTCAGGATCTCCCAAGCTCAAATGTGCTCCGGAGGCATTTGCTAATTTAGAGGGCTGGTTTTATAGAATGATGCAGTTGCCAGTCTAATTTCATGAAGCACCTATTAAAACAAAGCCTTGTTTCCTGGGCCAGTTGGTTGTGGTGGCCAGCAGAAGAATCACAAGGTCAATAGGTCAGCGATAGGGGGAGAAGACCAGCCCTGAGCTCTTGGCCAGTTCCTTATTTTCACTCTGCCTCTCCATGTCCTGGTGTAGCTGGCCCCTTTCCCTCCTACTTCTCCCTTTGCTCTCTGAACCCTTACTTCTCCTTTTGCTGCCGCCCCAGCACAGAGGCGGTTACGGTGGTCAAATGGCCTCTACCTGCCTCCCCACCGCCTCGGGGCGCGTGTAAAGTGGGTTGAAAGCCTTGAAACTCTGCTGGGGCAGAAGCCTGCTTTCTGAGCATGTGCAAACAATCAGGAGGTCCAGGGCGATTTAGGGGCCTGGACTCAGGTCACAGCCCTGAGTGTGGAGCTCGAGCACGGTGTTCGTGGGGTACGAGTAGCCCACTCGGGAAATGCCCCTGCGCCCAGGACGCAGCGGCTGCGCCCTACTCTCGGGGCGTGGGCAAGCTGGCCGCGTGTGCCTCGCTGCTTGACGCGAGGTGGAGCCAATCAGGGCGAGCAGGCCGGGCTGCCATGTGACGGGCGAGGCGGCCCCTTTCCTCGGCGCGGCCAGGGGGAGGAGAGAACCCAGGCTCCAACGAGCCCTTAAGAGCAGCGGTCGCGGCGGCGGCAGAGGCGGCGGCACATCTTGGGGCCGGCAGGGCGCGCATCCTCGGGCACCCGGCACGGCGCAGAGAGCCTGGCGGGCCGCAAGAGCTGCAGGACACGAGTGGACAAAGCAAGATGGCAGGGATCTTAGCTTGGTTCTGGAATGAGAGGTTTTGGCTCCCACACAATGTCACCTGGGCAGACCTAAAGAACACAGAGGAGGCCACCTTCCCGCAGGCTGAGGACCTCTACCTCGCCTTCCCCCTGGCCTTCTGCATGTTCATGGGGCGGCTTATCTTCGAGAGGTAAGAGCTGGAGCTCCTCTTCCCCTCCCCCCTACACACACACACACACACACACACACACACACACACACACCGCACAGACACTCGCGCGCACACGCACCCTCGCGTGCTCCCTGGCGCACGCTCCCGCGCCCTGAGCGCACACCCCGCTAGTAGCACCTTCACTCGCGCTCACACCTCCTAACCTTTGTCTTCAGGGAAGCACTGCTGACTCCAGCCCGACTAGCTTTCTGGGGACCTCAGAGAGCATGGCTAGCCCACTGATGTTCTCTGGAGCAACAGCAAGGGCAGCAGAGCGATGGGGATGGACCCTGCCCTGCCCCTTGGTCTAGCTTTCTGCGCTGGTGGCCAGCGGAGGCGAACAAAGGTGTGTGGTGGCTGCCCCGGGACTCCCTGACCCTCTCGGCTCTTGCGGCTCTGTGCACCGTGTTGCCTGCCAGAGAGCGCTTCCTAGCCCAGCTAGCCGGCACCCACCTGACTTCCAGGAACACATTTGCCTCCCAGAGGGAGCAGGGGCCACGCAGACTTCCAGTCCTCCTGACCGCGGGTGTTGGGGACTTTTCTTGCTGTGAATTCACCAGGCACTCCTTGGCTACTGATTGTGTCTTGGTGTGTCTTTCAAAAACACACAGTATTGGGTCCACCTACCTGGGAAATAAGTGCAGTAGTTTGTGGATTTCCAGCGCTTCGAGCCATTAGCTTTTTTAAAAAAGGGGTGTTCAAAAGGGTGCTCAGCCTGCAAAATGGTTTTGATACTTGAGTGAATAACTGTTTACCATGGGTAATCATAAACTTTCTAAAATATCAAAACATTTGGTTTTTTTAATTTAAAGACTTGCCATACGCTTGTACAATTCCTCTGCTTGGTTCTCCACTGTGGCAGGAACAAACTTGCGTTATTGTCACTGGATCAGTCCCAGGCACTGCATCTTGCCTGCTGCGCATTCTTTGGTTTGTAGTATTGATGCCGCTGGACATCTCATCTCACCTCCCTTCGCACAAACTATCAGTAAAGGCAGAATTTCTAAGATACAATGTTCAAATTCCATTTTTCATTTCACATCCCTTCCCTTCCCCTCTCAAATCACCTTAGTTTGCTCTGTAATTTTGTTGGTTGTTTCTGTCCAAAAGCGATATTCAGGATGGCAGAATTTGCCTTTTGTGCTGTTCATTGTGGGAAGTGGCCACAGGTCAAAAGCATCGTGGAAACAAAAAAATAACTTTTGTCTAAGAAAGGTGTATTTTTTTCAATGGGCCATCTTGCTGCTTGAGAACCAAGTAAGCTGCTCACATGCAGAAATGGACAAACACAAAAGCACAGATTTGAAGACCTTCTATTTTAAAATTATTATAATCCATCACAGATAGAGCTATGGTCCTATCCAGTGCTGAGATGTGCTGTGAAAAATGGGAGCATTTAGAAATGTAGAGTTGCTTCCAAAGCCAGTGCACACTTCCAGAGAACATGAATTTATCATTCATTTTATAATTTCTCCAAAGACACGTAAACTACCAGGGACTTCGACTGTGTGTAGCGAGCACATAGTAGGGAGTTCATTTGCTGAATGACTGCTAATACATTTCAGCTAGACTCACTTTTAGACAGTAGACACTTTCAAAGTATATGTAGTCTGTGTCTTTTTTAAAAATATTTAAAAACTTTTCTAATATTTGACAGTTCATTTTTCCTTTTCCTGCACTCCCCTCCACTTTACATAACTCCATGGGTTGATTTATAGTTTACACAAAAGGATCAACTGTTAAAATATCATTCGCGGAAAATCTCCTTTTATGTAGAGAAATTGTCAGCGTCCTTCTGGCTGATCCAATTAGAAACTTTCTAATGGGTGGTACAGAGAGTAGACGACTCTGGTGGCTTAGTGGTAAGGAATTGTGCTTTCAACGCAAAAGTACATTGTTCAAATCTACCAGCTACTTTGTGGGAGAAAGATGGATAGTCAACTTTTGTGCACTGCTTCAGAAAACCCGCTGGTAGCTCAGCTGGGGGCCGGTTCGGACTTGACAGTACACACAACAACATACAGAATGCTAATCCTATATGACCCTTGAACCAGAAAGGACTACTGACTTTTAGAGGAATGTTCATTCCCTTTTTACCAATAGCAATGACAGTTGTGTCCTGAACCATCCACAAACTTGATTCTCTGAAAAACCAAAGGCATTCATTGATTGATCCAGGCACACAGTCATGGCTCAGTGTAGAACTCTTACCCCTTTGAGGGGGGATATCTGGGTTTAATTTCTGGTTTGTGCACCTCCTGTGCAAGTACAACTCATCTGTCATTGATGGCTTGTGTGTGGGTATGCTGGTGACCAGATTTCAGAGGGGCTTCTAGACTAAGTTGGATTAAGAAGAGAGGCTTGGTGAACTACTTCCAAAAATCAGCCAGAGGAAACCCTGTGGATACCATTGGTCCACTTCCTAAATGGTCGAGGGAGTGGCATGGGACAAGGCAGTGTTTCATTCTGCGTGCATAGGCTTACCGTAGATGGACAGGTTGAACAAAAGGTGTCATTAGAGATATAAATTCAATGTCTTTTCTCTTCTCAAACCTGGCATATTCTAGGATCTAACCTGTGTCCTTATCTCAGTAGCATCCATTGAAATCTTTAATCAGGCAGCTGATACGATGACAGATAGTGGATCATTTTCAGTAAGTTGTACATACATTTATTTTTTATTTTACTGATTATTTTATGGATTTCACAGAATTGTTTACATGTACCAAAACCAGAATTTTATGAATAAGCAAACACAGCTAAAGCCAGGCAAATCAGCAATTGGATCATGTGCAACACTTTTAATTTTACCATTAAAGGTCCTTTTTGATATACTTTTAAAAAAATTATTACTAATTTCAGTAAAAATTTACAGAGACTTTGGATTTCCATTCATTCATTGTTGCACTTTCCCCCCCCCAACCCTCCCCCCCAGTACACTACCCTCTTGGAAAAGTAAAAGACAAATTCTTTCATTGTTTTACAAACCCTCCCCCAGGTCCACGTCACCATGTACCCTTTGCTTTAGACTCAGGTCATGACAAAAATACCTAATCACATATCCCCTTTAAACAGTTTTCTCCCTCATTTGTTTCAATGCAGTATACATTATTGAACCCATCTTTCTCATTCTCTCCCCAACCCCAAGGTCAGTTCTATTTTACAACAGTAGCACCATGCAGTATTTGTCCTTTTGTGACTGAGATACTTCACTCAGCATAATGTCCCCCAGGGTCACCCATTTTGAATAATATTGCATGAGTTCCTTGTTTTTCAATGCAGCATAGTATTCCATTGTGTGAATATACCACAGCTTCTCTGTCCATTTGTTTGTTGATGGGCACGTAGGTTGTTTTCCAACTCCTTGCTATTGTGAACAAAGTCGCAATAAACATGGGTGTGTATATATCTGCTTGGATGTTGGTTATTGTCTCTTTGGGGTATATTCCCAGTAGTGGAATTGCTGGATCAAATGGTATCTCTATTTGTAACTTTTTGAGAAAGCGCCATACTGCCTTTCACAGTGGTTGCACCGTTTTACACTCCCACCAACAGTGAATAAGGGTTCCAGTTTTTCCACAACCTCGCCAGCATTTGTTGCTTGCTGTTCTGTTCAATTTTGCTATTCTGACTGGGGTGAGATGATATCTCGTAGTTGTTTTAATTTGCGTCTCTCTTAGAGCTAGGGATTTTGAACATTTCTTCATGTGCTTGTTAGCTGTCAGAATGTCTTCTTCGGTGAAGTGTCTGTTCATAGCCTGTGCCCATTTTTCTATTGGATTATTTACCTTAATCTTGTTGTGGTGCTCAAGTATTTTAAAATTCTGGATATAGGCACCTTGTCTGATATGTCATTACCAAATACTTTTTCCCAGTTGGTAGCTTCCCTTTTTACCCTGTTGGAGAAATTTTTGGATGCGCATAGGGATTTGATTCTTAGAAGATCCCATTCATCTAATTTATCTTCTCCTGGTTTTTAAAATTTATCTTCTTGAGGTGTACATACATTGCTTATTTTGCTGTATCCTATAATGTGTAACCATTTTTAATTATCTTCAGCAAAATTGTACTTGATGTGACATTAATGATAATTGTTAAAAATGTCCACATTCTGTTGGATTGCCTTTCTTTGGAATGGATGCAGTATGGATCTCTTCCTGTCAATTGTTCAGATTTCTGTCTTCTGAATTTCTTGGCACCGATGAATGTGTCCAGCATGTTTGTTGAAACATTTCCATTGGTATTCCATCAATTCCTGGAGCCTTGTTTTTCCACTAATGTCTTTAGTGCAGTTTGGACATCTATCTCCCTTTAATATCATTAGTTCTTGGTCATATGCTAATTCTTGAAATGGTTGACTGTCAACCAGATTATTTTGGTACAATGACTGTGTATTTATTCCACTCATTCCATTTTCTTTTGATAAATCCTGTGTCATCCAATATTTAACCCAGAGAAACCTTCAGTATTGCATGTTGAGACTTCCTTTCCCCCCTTCACGTCTTTCAGCTTAGGACATGCTAAATTTGTTTCTCTCTTTGGACTTTCTAACTTCAGATCTTTGTACATTTCATTATAATACTTTTGTTGGTCTTCTGTAGCTGCCCTTTGAAATCTCTTGTCTAACTCTCTTACTTCATCATTTCTTCCATTCACTTTACCTACTTTATGTCTAAGAGCGAGTTTCAGAGTCTCTTCTGACATTTGTCATAGTCTTTTCTTTCTTCTTAAGGACCTTTTGCTTTTTTGTGTGTGATGTCCTTGATGTCATCCCACAACTAGTCTTCAGTCATTAGAGTTTAGTGCATTGAATCTATTATTGAGATGATTTCTATTTTTAGAGCTCTGATGGCCCAGTGATAAGAAGCTTTGCTGCAATCTCAAAGGCATGCAGTTCAAAGCTACCAGCTGTTCCCTGAGAGAAGGATGGACAGTCTCCCTCAATGTGATTAAACTGCCTCTGAAAACCCGTTGGGTAT